ATTGTCAAGTTCATCTCCACAGACGACCAAATTGCTGATATTTTTACAAAGCCCTTGTCTTCTCAGAAGTTTGAGTTTCTACGGTCCAAGTTGCAGATTGCTAACCGCGCTGAACTTGCGGGGGAATGTTAGACTAAGTCAACTAGTCTGGTTTATATTTTTAATATTGTCTAGGGTCCAAGGTGTAATTAGTTTTACCTATATAAAGTGTATCAGATTATTATTATTTTTCAATCAATACAATCAATATCAAGTTTTATAATAAACATTCTCGTAAGGTGTGTTTGGTACGCAGATGGGACGGGTGGGTTAAAAAATTATGCAAGGTTTTAGGGTTTTAATTTGACATGGGTGGTTTAATAATTTACCAATTTTGTCCATCTTCGTGACTTTCGTTTCACCTATTTTTTTGGAAGGGTGTAGCCTGGACTAATCCCGGCAAATTGTGACAGGAAGAAATCAGCCCCGATCCATTTTTCTACCACAATCGTTGTGTATGCCTGGAATGGAACCTGGGCCGATGGGACATTCCACCACATCCCCGATGACCTCAACCACTACGCCACAACCCTTGTGGTTCGTTCCACCTATTTTGGTGGGACAAACACTGCAGTTTTGTCTTACTCAGTCCTGTCTCGTCTAAATGTTGCACCAAATGGGGGATAACAAGTTCTTGTTTTGTCCAGTCCGGTTCTATCCCGCATAGCAAACCCAACCTTAATGTCCAATACACTATCGTTTTAAATGCCAAGAAATTAGGGATTCATTTTCTACCACACCATATGCCTTCGGCATAGTACAGCTCAGCCTTTTCCTATCTGTGCCTATACCATGATACACCATCATCTGAGGGCTTCTTGTTGTACTTAGGTGTAAAGTTTGTCATCCATGGTATGTGTTTGAAAATATATTGCACTGTTCCAAAAAATGCTGTTTCTAAAGAAATTCAAGTGAATTGTCTGCCATTTTTTAACGCTTTGTCTTGTTGCAGCTTGTGTTTGAAGACCTACTTGAGAGGGCTAAGGAGAAAGAGAAGAAGGAAGGTAAAAGGCGTCGTCGTCTTACCAAAGATTTCACAGAGTTATTGTACGGCATCAAGGTATGAGAAACCTGTCTCGTAAGGTTAAAGCTTATGGCACACTGCATGTATGCAGCTCGTCTCCAACGGATTCCCTATAATTTCTCCATAATAGAGAAGCAAATGTTAAACTCTCCAAAAAGACATTAAACTCCAACATTTCCTTCATGTTGAAGATTTCAACATCAATTGTACTATTAGAATATTCAATAGATATAATATCCCTATATATTTTATATGAAATGATGATACATTCAACTTCATTAGTGGGAACTGTAATCACTCAAATAAGGTGATGTACTTATCATTCATTTAAGATGAAGGTACCCATTATTAAACTTGATATTGATTTGTATTGATTGAAAAATAATAATAATCTGATACACCTTATATAGGTAAAACTAATTACACTTTGGACCCTAGACAATATTAATAATATAAACTAGACTAGTTGACTTAGTCTAACACCCATGATATATATAGAACTAATGAACTAAGGAAACCCTAATATTATAAACAAGAAAGTGGATCTCAACAATACTTTATGTAATAGGAACAATAAAAGACACCCAATTTGCTCTCTTCAACATTTCATATCAATGAGTTCTAATGTGGAGATTTTTATCCTCTCTCCTACTTTCTTCATTTTGGAGGATCTGTTGGAGCAAAAAATTAGGTCAAAAACTCCAAAATCTCCATTTTGGAGAATCTGTTGGAGATGCTCTAAGAGCTTCAAAACACTGATTTTTATATTATCTGTTGGAGATGCTATAAGAGCTTCAAAACACCCATTTTCATATTACTTGATTGGTGTGTGAACTCAGGAAATTAATGCATCCTCCACATGGGAGGAGTGCTTGCAACTTTTTGAAGAAAGCCCTGCGTATAGGTATTGATTTTTAATGGACCCCTCTCATGCTTACTATTAATCAATATTTTTTTCGATAGACTTTCCTAATTTATCTTCCTGGACATGGATTCAGATCTGTTGGAGATGAGAGCTTTGCTCGAGTGACTTTTGAGGAATATGTTGTTTCTTTACTGGAGAAGGCAGAAAACAACAAATACAAGCAGGAGGAGGAAAAGGTAAGTAGCATTCATTTGTAATATGAGGGGTGATTTCAATAGTCATTTGCCTATTCAACTCTACTGCATTGTTAACAAAAAAAAAAAAAAACACTTTTAGAAGCCAAACGTCTACTGTTTGCTTGTAAGTTCTTAACATACTAGTTTCTACTCTTTTTTTTGCTGAGGTAGATAAATGGTTATTTCGTATGCAAATGCTCGTTTTTTTCTTTTTCTGATGCCTGATGCTGCACCCAATGTTCTTGCAAATTAGCTTGTCAAATATATTACTCCATCCTTCCCAAAATAAATGTCCTTAATAAAAAATGATAAGAGTTTTAAATACATTATTATTACACCTTGTCATAAACTGGCTGACAATTTTACCCTTGCTGACAATTTGTGCTGTCATAATTGGAAATTTAGTGAATTATGACCATCTATTTTTGAAAGTGGACTCTTATTTTAGGACGATTAAATAGAAATGTGGACAATTGTTTTAGGACAGAGGGAGTATTGGGCAAGATGATGTTAAAGCTTAAAAGGATGCATGTACTTGGGCATTAAATTGATTGCATTCAAGTTGGTTTTCTGTGTGGTTCACCATTGAGGTGGCTTACAGGCCAAAAAGGAGAAAAGAGAAAAGAACAAGGATGAATCAAACAGTGTGGATGTGGATGTTAGTGAAAGTTATGGCCATAAAGACAGAGAGAGGAAGCACCGTAGGCGCCATGGAAGTCCTGATAAGGATGATAGAGACGACTCTAAAAAGTCTCGTCGACATGGCAGTGGCCACAGAAAGTCAAGAAAGGTACTTTCCAATGCTACCCTCAATTATGAGTTGGAGAAATTCGTTGTTCAGGTAAATTGTCATCTAGTTTGTTAAAAAGTGTAATGATTACAAATTTCTAAATCTGTGTGCCTTTTTTCACGGTGGAAATTTATTTTAGGACGGAGGGAGTACTTTTAAGTCTTCGATAGATATATACTCCCTCCACCCGAAATAAGTGACAACAATAGAAATGGTATACAATTTTAGACATACATAACACTTTTTGTAGTTAACCAAATGACAACTTTACCCTTAATTAGTTTATCTACCTTATCAACTCTTAAATATTTGTGCATTAATTAAGGATAGCTATTTTTGAAACTGGATACTTATGTTGGAACAAACATAAATAGAAAAATCAACACTTGTCTATTTTTTTTCCTATACTGCAGCATGCATATTCACCTGAATCAGATGGTGAAATCAAGCATAAAAGATACAAGAAAGATGGAGATGATGATGGTTGTGGTAAAAATGGTGGTCATAAGGAGCTTGAAGATGGGGAGGTTGGAGAGGATGGAGAAATTTGCTAGAAACACAATGATTTCATATAATTACTTTTCCTCTACATAAACCTTAAAATGGTATTGTATCTGTGTGAGCAGAACATCTGTATTTTTGATTTAGAACAAACTAGTTTATGAAAATATGACTGGTTCTCAATGCTGAGATTGTACTATTTTGACATCGAGATTCTCTACTTGTATACAATCTGTAAAAATTTCGTATCGTTGTATCTGCGATGCATCGGTTCAAAATTTAATAGAGTATTGATAGCCATGACATCTTGTAACGATCCGTCAATAAATTACGTGTGGACAGTCGAAGGTTACAATATTCTGAAAAAGCAATGAACTTGATTTTTACCGTCATGGTTAGGGTTGCATATGGGTTGGGTTGGTCGGATTGAAGACATTTGAATAACCTAATTTAATGTTTGTGGTTTGAAAAATCTCAACTTAGCCCAAATCATGCGGGTTGGGTTGAGTTGGTCGACTTGAAGCTTTGGTATGTAATTTTACAGTCTAGTTGTTGTGTTTAAATGAAGTAAAATCAAAATGAAAACGTACAAATAAGGCTACAATTACACGGAGACATTAAGGGATGCATGAGTCGTTCTATTAAAACTAACAATAGCATAAGAAACTATATATGTACTCTATTTCCTATATATAGTTGAAGATTCGTGCAAATAAGAAAATAAAATTATGGTTGAAACTGTGATATAATTATGAATGAAGCCAATTATTCATGGTTGCGATAAAATATCGTTGAATTTGTATTTAAACTGATTTGTATCCGTACGATACAGTGGGACACAATATTTCATCGTTAATCGAGAATGAAAAGCTAGTTCACATTATCATTAAAAAAAGACAAAATGCAACAAAATGTAACAAAATTTAGTTTACCCGGCTACCCTTTCTTCTTCATTGTGACCGCACCATTCTAATCTTTTCGCTTTTCACCGTTCGCCTTCCGTCGTTCACCTTGGCTATTGCGGGCAGGGGCGGATGCAATGTTAAAAAGGAGGGGGGAAGGGACCTCAGTCAAAAATTCATAAAAAAAATTATAGGCTAAAATTCAGGTTTTACATGATTTACCTTTCACTTCCCCCCATTACATTTTTCCACGGGCCCCCAACCCCAATCGAAACCGTTACTCTAACCAAAAAAATCTGTTGAAATCAATCAAAAAAACCAAAAAAGTTATTTGAAATCGACAAAAACACTAAAAAATCTCTCGAAATCAACCAAAAAACTTTAGCATTCCCTCGAAAACGTTGTAACTAGGTTAAAAACACATGAGACGATTTTGCGGGTCTTTAGTGTACCTTAAAGGTGACCCCACTGAACAAAAATCTTGGATCCGCCACTGGTTACGGGTAACCATATTCTTTCCTATTTATCTAGTTATAATCTTCCTTCTCAGTATCGAATATATGATTTTTTTTGTTGCATCTTCTTGATAAGGATGGTTTCACGATCATTTAATTAAATGAAAGAGATAGAAGCAAAATGTTCACCATGTGAACTCGAAATAAATTGCAATGCAATAATGTGTCGACTAACCTAAGCAGAAAAAAACCAATTACATAAATTGGAATCATATCCTTAAAAGATTTATGACACTCTTTTTGTTGTGAATCTTTCGGTCGCAAACACAAGGATTTGAATACATGTAATGAATCGATTTCTAACAACATTAACAATCGATAATTAGAAAGCAGATGCAAAAACGAAAAAGCAAACATGAGCGATGTGATGTAGTTGAAAATACACTTATGTTGAAATCGAGCAAGTTACATAAGTGATTTTCAGTAGTTGAAAATGGTATGGCGTAGCCCTATTTATATAGAAAATTTGATATGATTATGAGCTGGTCTAAGTCCAAAAAAAAAACCCGACCACAATACCATGGTTTTCGCCCAAAACCGATTGAGTCGTTATTGGATATGTATAGTTGGCATTTCTTCATATGAAATATCTTGATTTGATTGATTTTATCATCGAATGAAGAATCAAACATTCACCACCTATCCATTTATATCCAATATAAACTTCATATGTCTATAAACCGGTCAAATCCAAATTGTAGCTTACTTTTTGGATATAGACAAATGTAGGATTTTTACTTGTAAAAGTCTTATAACTATTCTGTATTGATCAAAGAGTAAAATGCCTTAAGCAAAATTGAAGAATAGTTGAAGTGAGGTCAAGATCGTCACCAAAGCGGATTGCTTTGTCATCTAGCCGAAAGAAAATTAGTACAAGGTAAGAAGTCAACTAGTAGTCTAAAATACTACTACTAGCAAGCCGAATCTTGAAATACAAACTTGGTCAGCAAATTTGGATCACCAACTCACTTACTTCCTATGTTAGTACGACAACATGTGATCATGTCAGCCTAAGCAGGTACAAAAGCACCATCAATGGTACTTTATTTACTTTACTATTCCCTCGGCATACTAAAGGATGGAGAAAGATAAAATTATGTTTACATCAAACTCAAAGGTTGAAGGAAGAATACTAGGATACATGGATCAATCAACCAGAAGGCGAGACGTAGAAAAGCTGAACATATGGCATTAAGTGCGAAGATGGTTATAAAAGGCCACCCTTAGCATACATTGCAATTCACCCGTTTTGAAAGAACAATCCTTGTGAGAGTTTCTGAAGTAAATTCGATGTCAACATCCGAAGAGCTTCCTAAGCTCATAGGATCTGAAAGAGAAACCTTCTTCCCCCTTCTCTTTCATTTAACAAATTTGTCATAATCAGATTGTTTGCGATCACAGGTCTTCCTAACTTTCGCAACAAATCTGTAATTCTTTGTTTTTATACAAGTTATAGAGCAAAAAATTAAAAAGTGAATATATGTTATGTTTGTATCAACCCCCATTCTTAAAACACTTCATCTGTAAGTCATCACTTTTTAGGATCAACAAGTGGTATTATAGTGCTTTGTTTATTCTCATAAACAAGATCTGACATGACTTCCACAACTATTGCAAATGGCTCTCTATCCAAGCCTTCTTTTCATCAAAAAGAAATACCATCTACTACAGTATTTGATATGGATTTTTGTTTCTCTGGATTAAAGGACTCGGATTCTAGTCCATTTGGTCTAAAATTCGGAAGTGAAAAAATGAAATTTTCGAAGTCTCTCGCTTTCTTCCTTTTTTCACAAATAGACAAAACCTATGTATTTTCTTTTAATATTAATTTATCTGTTTACCGTGTTGACAACTCTGAGAAATCTAGCTGTTCAACAAAGTATCTGGTTCTTAATAAAGTCTTTTCTTCGTTTAAACATCCTCAAAAGAATTTTCTCTCTCTTCTCCACAAAAGATCTTTATCCAACATATGCTCATTTGTGAAAAATCTATCCTAAGAATATGTGTTTTATGACTCAATTTCCTGAACTTGGTCATTCTGACAAGAAGTTTAGAAATCTCTCCTTCAACCTCCTTGAGGAATTACACTCAGGGACCAAGTCATACCCAAACCTGGTACTTGGACAGTGGATGTTCTAGGGCACGTAACTGGTTATATTTCCCTGTTCAAGGAATGTGTTTGAAAAAGGTCTTACCATATTTATCTTCCTAGACCTCTTCAACCTCGGTTGTACCTTTGTACTGCACATGAAGAGCGTCCCAACTTTTTGATGTCTTTAGGTTCATGATAGAGTGAAATACTTCATCAGAAAGGGCCATAGCACCTATATGGCGACTTTCTTGATATCTTCATCTGACCATTGATATGGTCAAGAGTTCCAGGGTGTGTGCCAGTTGCTATCAGCTAAAACTTATATACATGATTCCACTACGTAGAAGGTTATCATCATCAAATATATGAGGAGGAAAAGGATCAACAAACTTTTATGACTCAGTAAGTGCTTACTAAGTAAGAGTTATCACTTACCGGGTAAGACTCGATCCTTGCCTTCCTTCTTACCGCTTAAGATTCTCGCTCCTTATTATGTTCATCTGGTAAGGTACTTACCAAGGTAAGTATTTAGTAAATGACTTCTTAATAGTGAATCATTCTTCTCTAATTTTCTCATGTTATGAACTTAAATGCTCCAAACTCATTACTCAAAACTACTTCTGTTGGCAGCCATAGGTTTTAGAGCATGTGATTCATTAAGAGTGTCTTGTATGGAGAATTAAAACCCAAAATCTCTTAAAAGGATTTGCATTTGATTCAAACAGTTTCTCTATTTTGAAGATTACAATATTGATTATATTATTAAAATATTTCATTAATTTAACAAAATATTATTTCTCTCTATGAACATTTAATTTCAAGATTTAATAAAAAATATATGTAGTTTTATGTATATGTTGTTCTGATTTTATTTATAAAAAAAGAAAAGGAAATTGAAGGAAGTAAGAAAATGAAAAGTTTAATATTGACTTCATATTAAAAATATATGAAAACCACAAGAGTGGTGTGTAATTAGTTTGAGCTTGGTCTTTAAAGGTCAAAAGTATCTGAAGGTTCCATATTCAAATCCAAGGAGGAATAAAAATCCTCACGAATATTGACTTCATATTCTTCGGGCTACTCGTAAAATAGATGGTCGTCATAGGATTAGTCGGTTCACATACCAAATTGGATATTCAGGTTAATAAAAAGCAGAAATTTCACCTTCAAATCTCAATTTCTTCCCCTTCCCTTGCCACAAAATTTCAAACTCAATTTCATTCTTACTCTAAAGCCATTGAGGAAGATCACACAACCTAAGCTATGATTACCTCCTCAACCAAATCACATAGCACATTAACAACCACCAATTGTAAGATGAGATTTTGTAGACCTTTGTTTATGGATTTTTGTACCAAACAACCTGTCGTTATCAACGTTTACTTGGGTAAATAAACACCAAATCACATTACCTTACCGGATGAATATGATAAGAACCAAAAATCTTACCCAGTAAGAACGAGACAAAGACGAAGAGTCTTACCTGATAAGTGATTGCAACAACTCTTACCACGATAAACGATCATCGGGTAAATTGTTGCGTACGATACCGTTTTGGTAAACTAAAAATCTTACTCGGTAAGTAAATGATAGTGTTAAATTTACCGGTAAACGCTTACCGGGTAAGTGTTTGATAAACGGCCCCTAAATTCATTCAAAGAGTTTAACAATTAATCTAATTTCAATACACATAGCTCAAGTATGGAATAAGAAAAGGAAGAGGAAAAAGAAACAACACCCAAGTGTACATAGATAACAAGAGCCAGAGCCAGAGCCAGAAACCGTTTGATAAGAAGAAATTTGTTCATCATCCACAAGATTTGGGTAACATAAGTGGACTTTGAGCTTTCAAGTTGTCTAGTTTAGATTTGAAGTCGTTATGGAACAACACGAGTGATCTCTGGCGAGAAGCAAACGCAATGCTAAACTGTTTGATCTCTTCCTCAAGATCTTTCCTCTTTCGAATTTCACTCCTCATATCCTGCAAAATCTTTTCGTTTTGCTGTGTTAATAATGCAACTCTTGTTGACGAATCTGTGAGTAGATCGTCTCTTTCTTCTGATAATAGTTGACGCTCTCTTTCGAGACCATGAATTCTTTCTTTACATGCTTCAAGAATGTGGTTATTCGTATCCAACTCTTGCTCCAGGCTCTCATATCTTTCCTTCATCAATTCGATCTCACCCCTAACTTCTGCCTTCCAAGAAGCGATTCGTTGTCCCAAAGTGCACTCCTGAAAATCATGTATAAATATTCATCTTTCAACTTAAAAGACGTAAAAATAAAAGGGTTTTTGATAATATTATTGTGCTAAAAGCCAAGAACTACTATCGTCTCTAACACATTCTCTAAAACAGAAAAAAATGAAGATTTTGGAGTTCTCTAAAACACGAGAGAACATAAAATTCTTCAAATTTAGAGAACGCTCAAAAATTCAATGCTAGGAAAGAGAATTGTATTTTTAATAGTTTCCCACTCTCACTCTCGAAAGTTTGTTGAGGTATAAACGTATTGAATATTTTATGATACAATTATACGTCCAATCTCTAAAATAAAGAATTTGTTAAGAGTTACGGTTAGAGATTTTGAGTTTTAATTCTCTAATTTGGAGAAATCAAAGAGAATCTGTTGAAGATAAAGAAGCATTGTGTTAATTGCCTATACAAACATTAAGCAAACTCAAAACACCTGCTTTTGCACATTCTACATCCTAGACTTCCTCTTCCTACCTCCATCCAAAAAGAACATAAAATTATGGTAACTGTCAATTACTAGTTTAGATTACCCTCCTTCAACTTTAAGATGGTAGATAATATTAAAAGCCAAGAGTTGCTATCATCAAGCCACTATTCTAGCTATACAAACTAGAGGTGGACCAAATTTGTGGAGTGCTACGAAAAACACTGAATTTACCAATAAAGAACGACGAAGGAAGTGGAGAAGAACACAATATTTATGATGGACTAGTATCAAATGCTTAATTTAAGAACTATATCCTAACTATGATGTTCGAGTTTAATAAATTACATGTAACTATTAATGTTGTTGTGATAATTTTATTAAATTTGTATCATTATGTTAGATCAAGTTGTTTTTGTTTTAAAAAATGCTTAAATTACTATTTGCATTCAGCACAGTTATTAAAATATAAGTCATCGCTTAACATAGACTAAGGGGTAAAATGGTCATTTATGTCATTCAGTTTACTCGTCACAACAAACTAATAGCAATTTAGCCTAATCCATACACAAGTCCCCTTAGAAACTCAAGGCTGACTTAGTACCACCAAAATACTAAGGACACAGTTCATTTAGAAGTAAACAGTTACCGCAACATATATAGTTATCATTCTGTTAATAACAGAATATACCACACAATTCATGATAAGGGTAATGTAACAAAAAAGTATTGAATAATGAACAAATATCAACAATTTGATAAACTAACTAGCAACTTCAATTCTGTCATATAGAGAACAAGGCTACATATATACTACAAAGAAATTGGGTTTATAGGACGTCAAAGTGTCTTAATAGAATGTTTTGAAAGACTTAAGTTTATAGGACCAAACGATAAAGTGTTTTATGTAAAAGTGTTGCAATAAGTTTATATAGAACATTTTTGGGTGTTCTAACAAGTTTTTAAGACATTTTTAAAATAAAGTACCGTCTTAGCTATTTTACACGATACTATTTGAAAAAGAACCCTACAAACACACATGTTCTACAAAAAGATGATTATAGGACACTTCTTATAAGTGTCCTATAAAATAGCTAATACAACACTTTGTTTTAAAAATGTCCTTATAAACTTGTTAAAACACCAAAAAATGTCCTATAAACTTATTGAAAAACTTTTCCATAGAACTCTTTATTGTTTGTCCTAAACTTAAGTCCTATAAAGCATTTTGTTAGGATGTTTAGACATTTTAGGCATCCTATAAATCCAATCTTGTTGTGATACTTATCAACCTTTAGATGAAAAAGAGAACATTAGGCCAACTATTATAATCCAATAAATGAGAGTAAGAATATAACTAAAAAATTTATCAGCTGAATAATATAATTGGATAATTGACAGAAAGCAGTCTTCTAAAAATCTCTAGCTTGAGCCGGTTAGAGCATCTCCAACAGAGTCTATATTGTTCTCTAAAATAGAGAAAACTCCAAGTTTACCATTCCCACCAATAAGATTAAATTATGTTATATAAATTATTTTTCAAAAGTGTATTGGGACGATAAATTTATAAATTTTAATAATATAATGAATGTTGAAATCTCCAAAATAAAGAATTTGTTGGAGTTAAATGTAATTCTTATTAGAGATTTTTGACTTTTGGTTCTCTATTTTAGAGAAATTATAGAGAATCTGTTGGAGGTGCTCTTAATCCAGCGAAAGCCAAAGCATCTTTATACACTAAAACACATTCGGTCGACTTTGCAATGATAAAGTGGCTTGTAACTTGTTAAGTACATTAAATGAACTGTCTATTGTGTCCATTTTTGTCTCTTATCCACATTAAGAGGCAAACATAACTATTAAGATTCATTCAGATGAAAAAGCAAAGGCTCTTAATTGAAAATTGAAGCAAACAAGTAGTTGAAAAATGATTTGAATAAGTGCCAAATAGACAACCTCTTAGTTGCTTGTTTGTTCATTTATCAATAAAAAAACATGTATGGGGTCACAGAGCTAAGCAAAGAATCAGAATATGATATACCTGAACTAGGAGAGATAATAACTCAACATTAAGATGGTGAATAATATCAAAATTGGCATGTAACTTCTTGATAGTTGTGTCCAGGCAGCTACCTTATATTTGTTGCAGTGTTGCAAACTTCCCATATCATCTTCTTCTATAGAATTTGGAGATTTTTTATGGCTTGTACTTCTAAACCCATCCATGGCCATAGAAACATGTGTCTCAAAAGTTGACATAAGAAACGTGACGATTTCACTTGTGCTAGAGAGCAACTTTGCAGTCGGGGATTTCTCATCGGCCACAAAACTCTGTTCAACTCAATAAGTTATCTCATTAGATTCCTTCGGAAATTCAGCATCAGAATTCATAGAGATAAAATAACATCCATTTTACCTGAAAAGTAGAGAATATGTCCTCGCTTACGGCTTTGCAATTTGCCAAAGACTCGCTCAATTCCTGAGGAATTTCTTGGACCAGCCGAGCTTCATTTTTAAGTTTAGATATCTCTTCCATCAACTGGTTGTTCAACGCTAGTTGTTCTTTATGCTGTTTCTGTGGTGTGTGATTTAATACATAAGCTATAAAGCATATAATGATATACTTATTGATTTTTATCCTTGATTTGCACGAGGGAACAAACAAAAGGTCCATAGCATGGTTCTAATAATCATATTTTGTCGTACTGAAAGCATGTCAATAAGCTTATATAATGATACAAGGGTCCGGGGGCCTAGGCACAAGGCGCAGACATGAGGCACGGGCCTCAGGAATGTAAGGCGCATCTTATAGAAAAAGTGTATATGTATATATATACACACAGTTGCACACAACTCAAATATGTTGCAAGTACATGCCAATGCAGCAACCAACAGTATTTCGATAGAGGCGGAAGGGAAAGGGTTTAAAGCGTGTACCATGAGGGAGAAGTTTTAATTTTAGGGTTTGACTTATGTCATCTATTTAATAACTCTAGGAGATAAGAAGATGAGAAAACTTATTTAATATCAGGGTCTGAATAGGTATTTAATAACTCTTTATGAGGCGCACCTAGGCTCCACAAGGTGCCTCATCCAAGGCGCATGGCCTTAGTGAGCCTTGTGAATACGCCTAGCCTCGACTTTAGAAAAGGCCAAGACCTAGGCGCACCTTTTAACAACTATGCAAGGGGCAGGTTCAAATAAGAACCGTAAATATCTCGAGAACCTAGGAACCAACCAATCCAATTCATGTATTATTCATGATGAATATTGAGTTGATATTCATCATGGACGACGAAAATGCATGTATTCATGATGAATAATATATATACATAAATATTTTAAAGTTATCCATCATGAATAATGCATGAATTGGTTGGTCCCCACGTTCTCAAAATATTTGTGGATCTCTTTGAACTTTCCCTAATGATACCATTTATCATTATGTATTCGGTGTTATCCTTGATATGCACGAGGGAACAAACAAAAGGTTCATCATAGTTTTTATAATCATACTGAAAACATAATATCATTGTTCTTCCTCCTTCTAAAACAATACAAGACCTACCCTACTAGTTCTGAATAAGAGTTGATGTTAAAGTCAACAATGAAATAAAAAATGATATGATAAAACCACAAGAAAGAAACTAACCTCGAATCCATTTTTTTCATCAATAGCTTGCTGTAGTTGCCTTCGAAGATTCTGGACTTCTCGGTAATTGTCAATTGAGGAATCCTGTACAGACCATAGACAGTTGCTTTTATATAATGCATGAACAACTTAGCATAACAGCCCTGGTTCTCGATAGAATGATTTCATCCTAAGGTGTGTAATACAAGTTTCAAAAAGAAATAATTGTGGGATAAGTTGTCTAAAAATAATAATGGTTATTTAGATTCAAACAAGTAAAAACTGCAAAATTTTGCTGAGTGTTGATGTCTATCACATGCCATGATATTACTTACGGTCAACATGACTCCGAGATTAAATTACTAATCGAACTCAGTACTTTAAGAGCCACAATACATGATCCTCACTTCATCTAAAAAACAAATAAGAACAAAAAAACTAAAAAAAGAAAAATAATAAGTTGGGAAATGGCAAACTGATATGATCGGAATAAGCAATGAAAGCATGAAAGTTAAAACTTACTGGAATTTCATCAATTGCTGGAATGGATGAAACTTCTCTTGCTGGAGTCGTACCAATTGAATCAAGGTCAGCTACGAAGCCATTGTTCATTTTGAACCACATATCTTCATCAGCAACATCACCAAATTCATCTGGAAGGGGGCTAAATTGAGGTGTTCTAGAATGATAAGATCGTTTAGCAACAAATGCATTGGGAATCGGTTTAAAAGTAGGGGTACTAAAAGCATCTCCCTGCTGTGTGCTGCAAGTGTCACTGGTTTCTTCTTTGAGATATTGTCTCAAGGATTCGCTACCCTACAGACAATCCAAATATGCTACATAAAATAAGGGAAAGAAAGAATAAAACAAACAAGGTCTGAAGCTCACAAAACAACAATAAAGCAAAAACTTCACAGAAGAGTTAATTTGTGTATAACATCTTCGTGTTTTCACTCTTCCAAAAGCACATATAAAGTTTTATGAATTTTCGGGGTTGTACACAGGTTATCATGAGGTTGTTTAAGTATAGTATAATGTGATCAAATTGGGAGGCAGACTCATGAACTAGGTGGCATTCTTACATCCTCTGTTTCTATCTTGCCTACTTTGAAATAACATAGCTTGGAAGCTACATTTTTAACTATACATGCAACAATCAGTCGTCATTTCCCATAGGAAATAGATATTGTTCATTATCAGCAAGTAATTTCTTTATATTGATTAAGAGAGGATTAAATGAATATATATATATATATATATACAACCAAGGAACCTATATAAGGGTATCATACTTTTAAACAAGAAAGTAAAATCCTAAGTTACTATATCAAACACTCCTCGGGTTGGAACAAAGTTGTTTATCATGCCCAAGTTGTTAAAGATAAAATCTATTATGCTCTCTATAATGGCTTTGTGAGGATGTTTACAAGTTGATACTTTGTCTAATGTCTCCTAATTGGATCAATGGAGCGTCTTCTTGCATCCCTACAACACAGCCTCTTATCAGATGACAAGCAACCTTAATATGCTTTGGTCCTTTCATGGAATACTTGATTGTTGCCCATATGAATAATTCTAACCTTTCATTTTCTATTCACATTCAAGACAAGTTTATTTTGTAATTGTGGAATTGATATACAATACATAATCCTTGATTTCTTGGGATTAAATTTTCCTTTTGTAACAGATTTGGATATCTGTGTAATTGATACCATCTAGAAAAAAAAAGAATAGGAATCACATATTTGTTTCTGTATTCCTTGAGAGAAAAAAGAAGATACAGGGATATATACAGAAGCATAGAGAAATCTGGTTGTTACACTTATCTCCAGATTTACTAAAAGGGATAAACTAGACTAATTTTTTAGGAATAATCACTTCCTTAAAACCAGAACCAGCAAGCAGTACACAGCTTTCCGCTTTGAGTACAATGTGGTTGTTTGGGAGGGAGGTAATGATACGCCTCAGTGTTTTGGTAGAATGTATCGGCCCCGATCTCCCGGGGGKGGGGGGGGGGGGGGGGGGAGCATAGTTGTTAATTAGTCGCTTTTTATTATTATCCTTTATTTTACTAGTTTTCTAAAATATGTGGCTTGGTAATCAAGCTATTTGAAATATGGTAAGTTTAGAAATTTGGAGCATTTATAGGATTAAGGTCAAGGTTTTTCATGGAGAAGAACGTTGAGTCTAGAGTCTTGGGAGATCGCCTAATTCTCAAATTGTAGCACTATCCTTGTATTTTTCTTTCTTTCAAAGATAAATAAAATAAGAGTTTGGTTGCGTTCTTATCACTCCCATGATGAATTCACATTGAAATCTAGAAAAGAATAGAAATAAGACTTGTTAACTCAAAAAGGAGTTGCAAAGAGAGAATGGTTGGATCAGCAACTCGATGAACAATAACAAAATCAGCAGTCATAGCAGCAATAGTGTAGGGTTATTTTTCAAATCAGAAACAAACAGCAACGTCTGACAGTGGCGATGGCAAACGGCCGGCGATGACAGGAGGATGGTACTGATGGGGCTGGATCTCAGTCAGGAGAGGATGGAGCCAGCTGCTGGCAATGGCGGCAGCACCATGAACAGAACAGGCAATGACTACACCAACAGGTAGGGCAGCAAAAGCTAGAGTTTTGTCTAAGAGTTGGGATTTCGTCACCACCGACAATTAGAGTTCTCACCAGGAAAAAGAAAAAGGGCTCTCATATCATGTAATTTGAAAATTTCTATATATTGATTAAGAGAGATTTACATGATTATATATACAACTTAGGACCTATATAAGGAAATCATACTTTTACAAACAAGAAAGTGAAACCCTATTTGCTAAATCTTATACTAAAGCACATAAACCGTATTCAGAATAAAAAGGGACGAAAAAATTGAGCTACAGTTGATCTATGATAGAAAACTGGGGCAATAAAAATGATTCCCTTATAGCATGTTAATAAATTGCTTAATACAAAATACTAGAACAAAATTAGGAAGGCAATTGTGTAGCTTCATGCCAGAAAAAAGAAAGACAATACTTTGGTGGGGCTAGAATTGCAAAAAAAAAACCCGGAATAGCTTTTGAAGTTCTGTAATCAATAGTCTTTATAGATTAATATTGAAGTTCCAAATAGCATGCATAAAGCTTACGAGCTAGCTAAGTTTTATTTTCCATTGGCCTATGATCTAAGGTATCCTTACTGCCTAACCGGAGAAAATAAGTTTTAGAGCACTACTTTCAAAAACTTACTTGGGCAGAAACTCTATCAGAGTCAGAAAGAGTGAATGAAGTGTTTGCACTGCCAGTTCTATTACTTTGTTCCCTCGAGCATTGGTCTTGTTGTCTGTTGGATTTTCTCTCCTCCTCTAATTCCATAGCAAGCTTTTCACGCTCTAGCTCATACTGATAAATAATAGAAAAGCAAACATAAGTTCACTATAATCCTTCATTGGTTTCCATTGAAAAAGATGATCATTGGCTATATACAAGATACTTGTATGGTGTATACACTATACAGTCTACCTTGAGCATGTCATTTCTCAATTTCAAGATCTCTTGCTCCAACACCCCCGCATGAGATCCCTATCAAAGTAATTCAGCACATTTCAATTCAAGTTTTGGTGACACAAGTTTAAAACAAGATAAAAGTCACCTCAAGTTTCTTGCGTAATTCCTCTATCTCAATTTTTTGTCTCTTCAATAACGCGGCATCTGTCAGAATCTGGAGGGAAATGGAAAAAGTGTGTAGCTCCAACAAATAAATGCTTATACAATGACCAACAAAATCAACACTACTTGAGGAGAACTACAAGCAAGCATGGCTAAAGCATCTACGAACAAAAGAATGTCTATATATGCTTCAAATTCAAAGGTCAGTATCATTACATGATTGGTCATTTACATATGTGTCACTCCACATTTTAACCTGCGACATGTATACACGACATGAACTTAACTTCATGCTTGAGCCATATAGATTGCAATGAAATACATATCATCAGCATAAATACACCGATTCGAAAGGGGGAAAATGGCTACAAGCCTCCGGCAAAGCCCATATTGTTGATGCCAATTATATATGGATACAAGGGAAACCATATTTAATGACCACATTATTCGGTCATTGGATAACTTCAAGTATCTCAAATCAACACATCGAAGCATGTCACTTGTATATGGAGCTATAGCCAAACAAAGAAATTAGATATGCTGTTACTAAGAAACTGAAGGACAAAACGTATACATCTTTTGTTATAAACATGCAGAGTAAAGAGGGTAGTGCACAACTGCACATTAGACTTCTAGGTAGGCCTTACAAGTCTTATATGCCTGTTTTACCTTTTCTTAAGCCTAAGAATGTTAGGTAACACAGCAAATGCAATTTCCCAATGTATTTTATTAATCACCAAAAATATTAAAACATGCAACTATATTTCAAAACATCTAATCAAACCAATCCAACTTGATGCATATTCATCCAAAATCTGCATACATAAATATGAAATTCAGATTAACCAAGGCCCCGAGGTACCAATTTACCAGCCAGGTTGGCTCTGTTGAACCTAACCAATATGATTCAAATTTTGCAAAAGCAAGGGGACAATCAAATGTCATGTGTCTTACTCCTTGTACCCAAAAAAAAACTCACTACACCAAACTTGGCCCCTCTCAGCTGTTGGTGGTTCATTGATGGAGTAAATGTACGTGTATCAGAATCTATACGTTTGCACCCCTCTTTTAACAAATATGACCAAAACTGTATCTTTGAGACACCATTCAGAAAGGCCATGATATCATATTCCACATTTATCACAGTCAAGAAAGACAATGTTATCAAAAGCATAATGTTGACATAAGACATACCTCATTTACTTGAACACAGTTGGTAATACGTTTAGCTCTACTGGCAAATTGAAGGGTTCCCTTTGTTTCCTCTATATGAACCTATATGTACCGGTTAAATAAAACTAGTTAACATATACATCATTATTAGTGAACTGCAAAAGAAAAACATGAATATGATATATACCTCCTCCGGTGCCACAGTACAAATTATTGATGTTTTCGCATTGCCACCAAGTGCAGGTTGAAGGATACGGGTGAGCTTGCTGTCACGATAAGGGATATGTCCCCTGCAAAAGAAAATGTAATCATTTAGCTCACCATATCATTGTATAATTAGTCAACCAGCTAGATGTAGACAAACACCTTTGCCTTGCACCATCACTCAATTTATTGATGACATTGCCAAGAATCATTAAACTCTTATTTATGTGTTTTCCTTCCTTCAATCGAACTCCACCAGCTCCAGTTTTGGCAATTCGTTCAGACCCAGCTAAGTCTACCAAATTCTAGTCTCAGATAAAAAAGAAAAACTCGTGAAATAGATATAATTTAATTTATGACACCAATTAAAAATTTTATAGTCAGCTAAAAGATAGTAAAAAGTTACAGACCAGGACAGAAACACGAATAGCATCATCCAAAGTTGAATCATCATTAGAACTAGCATCTTTCCCCTTGCTCTCAATCACCTGAGATGCAACACCATTAATATGGCTTCTATACCATATAAGAAATCTAATGTTTATAATTAATAGCATTGTGACATTTCGACAAAGCTCAATAACATACCATCCGAAAGATGGTGTGGGATCTACTACTTCGGACATTCATATTAGTCTCTCCGAAGTGCCTGTTAACTGAAAGAAGCTGTTTTAGATATAGTCGATTTAACTAATATGGATGGTACAAGGAAATCTCAAACCTTCCCCCATGTCAAGGAGCTTTAGTACTTGCTCGGCACTGTTAACAATCTCCTCCCTTAGGCCTGCAACAAATACTCCATGCTGGAAACAACATAAATCAGTAAAAGAACATTCATACTAGTATAGAATGTGTTGTGTCCACACCCACCTCCAAACTCTCATGAATCTGCAGTTTCTGGTTCTCAACAGCAAAAAGATCATTGATTTCTTCATTATATATCTCCATGTACGAGACTCGAATGAGAAACTCCCTATCAGTTGACTGCAAACAATTGTTATCATTTAGGGACAAATATGGTCTCTGGCTCAATTTTAAAATAGTCAAGCTTATAAGTAGCAAAAACAGTAGTAAATTTATAAGAAACACACCATGGTTGTCTTGGCAAAAATATCTTTGATAGCCCGGTGAATAATTCCTGGATCATTCTCAGACCCGTTCATTGTAAACGTTTTTCCACTGCTTGTTTGTCCATATGCAAATGCAGTCCCTGCGTATGGCACAGTTTTTAGCTTCAGGATCAACTTGCATGATCATTAATCACAAAATTTAGCCAGGTCGTTGAAGGAGAACTATTTCAGATTGAGAGATGATATAACACATCACAATTAATGAAGTTCTTTTAACTCAGAATTTTGTAATCCAAAGAGGGTCTATAAAATGACAACATCTCATCAATCAAGCAGCTGGGGTAAAAGAATCCATATAATGTCATATGTAACTCGAATACAAAAGAGAGAGCTTTGAATTTTGACAAAAGGTAAAAATATTTCAAGAGCAGAAAGTGTCATATCCAGCGAATCACTAGTACATTAGAGTTACTTTTCGCCATGCTTTGCACCCAAATTACAACCTCCTCGCTATCAATCAAGAACATAATTAGTAAAATATTTACCATTGAATCCATCAACGACGGCATGTATAATGTCCTTGGTGAGGAGATCATAAACGCTAGAATTCGAGCAATCTTGGTCGAAAACATGATCTACGTACAAGCACAGATACATGAGATCATCCCAATTGACGATAAAATAAAGAAGCAAAAGAACGAAAGAAAGGGTACCGAAAGTATAAGAAAGAGCAGGAGGAAGAGGGGTGCCGGCTAGAGACCTATGCAGCGAAATACGATTCTCTTCAACCTTCCAATGGCTACCATTTGTAGTAGAATCATCTTCTGATTTCACCGGCGGCCTTACTCTCACTGCTACACATATTTTCTCCATAGCTTCCTCTACAAATGATTGAGCGCTGGATCTGATGGATGTTGGGGAGTCTAGGCGGGATTTACAGGGACGGCCTTCTTTATTTGATTTCAAAATGGAGGGCTACTTTTGCTTATATCTAAAAATAAACTACAATTTTGGTCCCTGTTGTTTATATCAAACTACAAAAATAGTCCCTAAACTTCAATAAGTATGGAAATAATCACTACAGTTTGCATTTCGATTTGAAAGTGATCTGTGGCGCTGCATTTTATTAACTCGGTTAAGTAAAGGGCATTATGGTCTTTTATCTCCTTTCCTGTTTTACAAACAGAATAAAAATATCGTCCTGAAATTCATTGTTCTCTTCCTATTCCACTGCCTCATCATTTTATTTACCAAAAAAGTGCAAAAAATCCAACCAGCTTTCTCATTTCGAATTATTTAATCTCTAAACTTTTTTGAATGATAAACCATTAAACTTTCTCATTTTGAACAGTTTACTCCTTAGAACTTTTTTAATGAAAAACCATTAAACTTTCTCAATTGAATGATTAAGTTTCTGAACTTTTTTTAACAAATAAAACATCGAACTTCTAAAAATTAGATGCCTACATCATTTTAACCCAAAAGGGGTATCTGAAATCGGCTATGAATGTTTTAAAGTAAAAACCTTAAATTGATCTTGGATCTAATTAAGGTATAATGAGTTTAAATGTGTTATAATGTGTCTAATTAGATCTAAATGGATCTAATTGAGGTATAACGAATATTAGTGGTCCTTAATGGCTTGTTTTGGTATTTGTGGCTATAATGTAACACCCGGAATTTTTGGTACATACGGATTCAAGTTCCAATATGTTTTTCATGAACTGAGTGGTTTGGCTAAGTAATGGAAGTTTTGGTCTTCGGTCAGATGTCAAAAATAAGCAAGAAAAGCTCAAAATGTGATTAAAAGGGTGTTTCGCGACCCTTGGGTGTTAGGGTCGCACTTTATGTACTGAATGGCTTTTTTTTAGAAGATGAGACCCTTGTTTCACGACCTTGGGTGGCAGGGTCGCATGTCAGGGTTGCATATAGCATACAGGGGGTTAAAACCGGATTTCGGGTTAAAACTTCATTTCTTCATCTCTACTCCGTTCTGGGAGATTATTTTTTCTATGGATTCATTTTTTGAGCTCTTTAGTATGAAAACAATGATGATTTAAGATTCCTTGATAATTTTGGGGTTCATAGATGTTGAAGGTAAGTCCACGTCATTGTCTTTTGAATCTAGGGTTTGATCATTTTACACCAACAACTCTCATTCTCTCGTGGGTTCTATTTTGTGTATGTTTTGGGAGATAAGAAGATCTTCTTGAGGTCTTTGCGTCATAGATCTAGAAGTTTATCTTGGGGATTTAAAGTCTTCACCGAAGGAAGCTCAAGATTGGGATAAAACCTAGATTTAGTCTAAATCTAGCAATGTGAGTTCAAGTTGCTTTGTGAAAACGTTGTACATGCCAAAAATGTCTATCTTGATGCATTAAAATGTTTCCTTACTATTTATCAAATGTATTAAGTATTTGATGAAGCTTATGAACTTGGTGTTTTTGGGTTAACATATCTTGAAAATGCATAGATTTGGGATCTTTAAGTATTTGGTAAATAAATCCTAAGTGTGAATTCTTTAATGATTTATCTCATAAATAGAGATTATTTGGTTTTAATGCATTTTAGAGTATTCGGTTTGGGAAAACGCATATTGTCGCGCTGAGATATTTTGGAAATATAAATGGCATAAGTTTTAAATGGAAATGATTGTCCCAACCATTGAGTTATGAGATATTTTGAGTTTTAAATGGCATATTGTTGCGCTATGAGATGTTTTGAGTTAATCGTGTATTTGGAGTATGTATTTGCATAAACATCGGTTAAATGTGTTTTATTATTTTGTGACTTTTATTTAATGGTCAATTGAGTTGTTGAGCTTTTGGCTCGATTTCAGCTTTTTGCTCTATGTCGACCTCTTGGAGTTATATGCATTTGTGGCATATTTATTTATAAATTACATGTTTACAGTGTCTTGGTCATTCATTTAGACTTTGGAGTCATGTAATTTAGACTGTAACGCATTAGATATATAGACATGTGAGTCACTTTTATGTTGATGGTCTTGTGGGTATGTGGGGTTAGACTCCGAGACCCTTGTTTCATGACCTTAAACTTTTCAAGTAGGCACTAGGAGAATTGAGTTCGGAAGTGATGTCTTGGTGATACACCAGGATCTCTGTCGCTTGAGGTAATGCTTTAGAGGTAGTCCTTAAGTATGTCGGGCCTTAAGGTGTTACCCATGAGGGTAGATACTAAGGTCATCTGACTCTTGAGGTGAAACTTGTTGAGAAGTCATAGAGACATTCAGGGTTTAAGTCGTGAAGTGTTATACGATTAACGTTGTACAAATGACACACTTATATGTTCCCGTCACTCTCAACGAATATGGGTCTCCCCCTTTGTTGTTAAACATTTTTTTTTCAGATGGTATATTATCCATATCTTAATGTTAGTTAGGTTTTGGCAAGTAACCATCATTTATGATTTTAATATATTGGATCGCTTACATATATTAAGGTTTTGGAAAAATGTTATATTCATGTTTTCGTTATTTGGATTTTAATCCTATTTGTACTTCGTGTGAGTGTTGGGTCTGGTTTCATAATGTTGAGTATTTCAATTTAAGTGTTTTTATCACAGAAATGGTGGTTTTGGAAATGATGTCGTTTATATTCTAAAATATGTTTCATATTAGAAATCATTATTTAAATTTTATTCTTTTTGTTTTACCGTTTTTTATAACTAATAGAAACTGCTTGAATTCATTAAGAGTTAAACCTAACCTTTTTTTTGTCGGCATGTGCATCGGGTCCTTGGGAAAATGGTACTAGCAACACTTTGATTTGATGAGTACTAGTTAGAGGCATAAGGAGGAATTAGTTATCTAGGAGACATCCTTTGTATGTTGGAGTCAACTTATGTCATTGGGTTTTAGTAACACCTGTCACGTAATGTAGATTTATGTAAAGGCTGGAATTTATCTTACTGATGTAAAATTTTAGATCGCCATTGTAGGTATTCAATTCTTGACTTTCTATGAGGGCTAAATTTTTATTTGATTCGTTGAATGAGGTTTTCACGGTTGACTCTCATAATTACAAAAAAATGAACAAAATGAAAAATTATGATTGGTTGAATGAGGTTTTCACGCACTACCAAAAAACCCCCTTTTTCCGGCGGCCAAATCCGCCGGAACTCCGCCAGAAAAAGGGATTTCCGGCGGATTTGGCCGCCGGAAAAAGGGGCGCCGGTGATTCTTTTTCCGACGGTGTTTCCGGCGGATTTTACACGTTTCCGGCGGATTACGGCCGCCGGAAAATCTCCGCCCGTTTTTAAAAAAAATCTTGATTAACTTAAAAATTAATTAATTTTTTTTAAAAAAAATTCCGCCCGATATTGCCGCCGGAAATCCGCCGGAAAATTGCCTCGCCGGAAAATCTCTTTTTTTGAAAAGAAAATAATATTTTTTAAAAAAATAATTTTTTAAATACCGGCGGAAATATCCGCCGGAAATCCGCCGGAATAATATATATATATATATTAAATATTTTCTTTTAAAAATTAATATTTTAAAAAAGAATTAATTTTTTTTAAAAATACCGATTATATAATAAATATTTTCTTTAAAAATTAATATTTTAAAAATAATTAATTTTTTTTAAAAATACCGGTGGATTTGGTCCGCCGGAAATATATATATATATAATAATATTTTAGATTTATTTTAAAATTAATATTTAAAACCTGTATTTAAAAACTGCAAATCTGTACAATATTAAAACTGAAAATAAAAAGGCGAAATCGAACTAAATATCATACATTAAAATGAAACTACAATTAATCC